CACATATGGGTAATTTGCATAGACTCCATAAATCCTATGGATTCTCTCTAGGTTATTGTTCAGTTATATTTCCTTTCCTTACTGTTTAATTTCATGGAATGAAATTTGAAATAATTCCTAGAGATAAGCTTACGGGGAACACTATAAAGTCACTACGACATCATCTTCTGCCCCATGTGACTCCTACCAGTTTTGCCCTGTCTCACTTACTCTTGCTCAGCAACTGACCTGCACATATGGTCCAACCCCAGGGCTCACCACTGCTTCTGCAGCACCCTGTGTACAACTACCACCTCCCCGTGCCCCATGGCTGCTATCTTGATTCACACCACCATCAGTTTGCCAAGGCACCAGACACCCTAGAATTGGTCTCCCAAAGTTTATTCTTTACTCCATACACTGGAACCAAAATCATCTTCCAATAATTTTAAAGCTTTTCTATAAATAGCAAGAATATACTTTAATAAAGTGGATGAAGTCACCAGCCACACAGCCACCCACGATTTAAGAAATAAAATACTATTATAACTTACATGGTCCCAGTCCTCAGCCAGTGGGGCACACTATACTGTGTTTGTGACTCCTTCACTTCGCAGTCTTAATGTGTATCTGTGACAATACACTGCTCAGCTTTACATGACTGAACTGATATGAAAGCTCTACTTAGTCTGATTGCTAAGAAACTCATTTACTTTAACCTCACCTATGCTGTTGGGTTCAGCAGCTCTATTCCTTGGTTTCCCTTCTGAATAGCGCTTCTCATCTCCCTGCTGACAATGACCTGGTTTCCTTACAGAATCTTCCCTGCTCTACTTTTCAAAGTCATTCACAATGTGTTCTAAACTTTCCTATTTGGAATCCCTGGGACAGAGTCCACCAGGCAGAGAAAGTACATGTTCACTAGGTTGTACAGAGGAGCTCAACTGTTGGTCAAAGGGTGTGTTCACATCCAACTTTACTAAATAATGCCCAACTCTTCCCAAAGTGGGGAGCCACTCTGCATTCTTGCCTGCAGTGTGACAGTCCTGTGACGCCACATCCTTCCCAACCTGGTATTTTCAACTGGTTTATTTTCTCCCAGACTGATGAGAGTAAAGTGGTACCAGGATGTGGTTTAAGTCAGCATTCCTTGATCAATACCGAGATCATTTCATGTGGTTCACTGCAAGCCTTTTGTCCTTTCAAACTATTTAAAAAATATATCCTCTTTCAGGATGTCAAGTTTTATGCTTTTTACCACAATCAAAACAAAAAAGAAAAATAAAGCAGAAAAGGAGAAAGAAAATAGGTGTACTGAAATATCAACTTCTACTTTGTAGGTCTCCATTTTTTAGATGAATAAATTTGCTTATTTTAATATTATACTTAATATTTTAAAATTTTAATGTAGTTAAATTTGTCTTCTGCTTTACATTTTACAGCTTCTGGATCGTACGTGAAGTATTAGATGCTTTGGATATAAGAAAAGCTATCACAAGACATCTGCTGCATTCTGTACTTTGCATGTTTGCGCTTGGACCTGCTTTATGTTTTACATGTTATGTGAGGTAGGATCTGCTTTTCAGATCTTCGCTATGCATGCGGTTTTATAAACCATCCACAGGTGTACTGAGTCTGCCTTTGGGTTCCTGTTGGGTTCTGTCTGTCTTCCCTCCAGTGTCTCTGGATTTCAAGCTGCTCTTTATTTTTTTTTAACATTTTATTTATTATTTTTATTTTATGTATATGAATATATTACCTCCATGTATGTAAGTGCACCTCTATCATGCAATGCCCACAGAGGTCAGAAGAGGGTGTCAGAACCTCTGGAGTTACAGACAGTTGTAGGCCGCCATGTGGGTGCTGGGAACTGAACCCCGGTTCTCTGTAAGAGTAGTCAGTGCTCTTAACTGATAGGCCATCTCTCTAGACCCCACCCCCTAAAGCTGCTCTTTGTTGTGTTATTTTGTGATGCAGAGTATTGATCCTAGAGCTTTGTGCATGCTAAGCCAGTGCTCTATCACAGAGCTACACTGCCAGCCCTTAGAGGTGTATCTGAATCCCAAGTGACAAGTGCAACAACTTGTAGCTGTTCTTTAAAATTCCTGAAGAGGGCTGGCAAGATGGCTCAGTATGTAAAGGGGCTTGCTGCCACGTCTGACAACCAGAATTTGATTCCCCAGAACCCATGTGGTGAAGAAAAGGACTCCTGCAAGTTGTCCTCTCACCTCCACAAGCACATCATGGCATACAGGCGTGCGTACACACAATAAATGCATGCAAAAAATCAAAATTCCTGACTATTCCTGGGCTCAAGCCCATAAACTTGCATAATTAGCTTGTTAGATTCAAATAAGCAAGCACAAGGAATTACATTAAAATGACATCACAGTAAATGTTCACATTTTATGGGGAAATGTGACATCTTTTTTCTATTAAATCCTTGTTAGCCATAAGTATGACTGAGTTAGCTCTTTAGGAAATCACTTGAGGTTAGCTTCGATCACTTTCTACAGAAATGTAAAACATGCTTTTAAAAAGTTTTTTAGTATATATTCTGCGCTTTTTGATACAAAATAACACAGGTAAAATTCTTTTCAGTTTGCTAATTTTAACACACTGCACGTGCAGAGAAGTTGTTTACCCTTCTCAGTAATCCCCCCGGCACTGAGGACCGAACCTAGGGCCTTTGAGCTCTACCACTGAGCTAAATCCCCCCCCCTCCCCGGTAATTTTAACAACATGCCTGGAGATGCTTTGATTTTATCTCCAGTGATGGACCATCTGCAAATAATGACAATTTGTTCCTTCCCAGCACTACTCTCTGATGAGTGCTCCATGTAAGTACTCCAGGTCTTCCTTATTTTTGTTTTTATGAGTATTTTACAGGCTTGATGAGGGAACTGACAAACAGATGAGGAAATGTGGAAGTCTCCACATAGGAAGAGTATAATATCAGTGCAGCTCTAAATAAACTCCCAGACATTAAACACCTAAAATATAAAAGGACAAGTCTTAGCTCAGCCTAGTTGCACAGGTTTGTTATCCCAGTTACTCAGGAGGCAGAGGCAGGAGGATTCAAACTTCAAGGACTGAGCTACAAGATGAGCTCAAGATCACCCTGGGCAACTTGATGAAACCCTGGCTCAAAACAAAGTAAAAAGAGGGCTGAGTATACAACACTGTGGTTGGTGCCTGTCCACACACCGTGGATTCACTCTGTAGCCTACACATTGACAACTACTGACCACGAATGTGGGAGGGAATCCCAGGGAACGGGAAGCCTTCATTTTTTCTCAAAAGGATCTAGGACAAGGAAAAGACTTTCCATCATCCTTCCATTAATTTAAAAAAGGTAGACTGATCACTTTTCAGAATTTGTTTCCATGTGTACAGAAGAAAGCTGAGTTTTCATGAGTGGTATAACTACATCATAACTTAGAGTGGCACCCCATCAACTGTATAATCTTTAGGTTTCCATGTTATCAGTTTTAAAAAAAAGTGTAATTAAAAAAAAAAAAAGATGCAATAAAGAAAGGTAACAAGGTAGGAACTCAGTGCAGCTGAAGTTGAAGTTCTACACTGTGGAAAGCATCCCAGCCCTCCTGATCTGGGTCTTTCTCTGAGTGCCCCCCTTCCTGCTTATGCCATAACTACCTGGAGCTCAATGTGTATTAACTTTTTAAGTAAGCTAAGTGGAATCCTGGCTGAGCACAAAAAACACACAAGCCCCAAAGTCCACAAATCAGGCAAAAGCTAGTAAAACCTGGGAAACTGCTACTATTATTTATTCTATAGTTCAAAATTTCTTTTTATCCCTACCAATTTTCACTAATATGGATAGTCAAGAACTCAAGGTCACAGATTACAACAAGAAATTAGGTGGGATCAAAAATGGGTAATTAGGGCTAGGGTGTAGCCCAGGGGAAGAGTTCATGTTTAGCTTGCACAGGGACACCACACATACAGAGACACACATGTACACACACATGTACAGGTACTTATTGTGATCTGTATTTGGAGAGATGGTTCCGCTTCTAAGACAATCAGAATCTAATGACAAGGCGCATCATAAAGGTCAAATGCCTCCTCACTTGTCTGTACCTATGAGCCATTTCTGTACATATTCATGCCTGAAGAGCCAATGATCTGGTGGACAGTTATAGTTTCAGGATTAACTTAGCCTCTAGCACAACATCTTCTGGTATCCAGTCTTTTAACTTGGTATTATGCCTTCCACAATTTATGGAATTCTCTTACATTAGGCTCCTTATTGGACAGACTAAGCAGGAAAGAAACAAACCTGGACTCAGTTGTTGCCAGCCATCTCACTGTCTAGACAGGGGAAATGAAACAAACCCAGAGAACAGAGCCGAGAACAGGAAGGAGACACATTTCCCAAGATGCTGTGGGAGAGCTAGATCCATCTTAGCTGGAACTAGATGCATTCTGCACCTTCCAGTTATAAGTCTCAACAAATTCCCTTTCTGCTTTAGCCAACTGTGCTGGGTTTCTATCACCTGCAACTGAGAGCACCTCAGGAAATACAAGAGTCCACACTGTCGAGTCAGCGTTCTTTCCACGGGAACCTGGGTGTAATGCACAAGTCTAAAGTGGCTTTCGATCTCAACACAATCACTACCTATATAATCTTGGGTGGGGATATGTATGAACCTCAATATGAGCCCCAATGAGGGGACATGACTTAAAAGACTGGGCTGGTTTGAGAGTTAAATAGGAGTTCTTTTCCCAAAGCAAGAGGTGGAGTTAGGTATCTAGAGCTCAATAAATGTAACAGTACTCCTGCACTATAGCCCAATAGGGCACTAAATGAGACAGGACATTAAGCATCTAGTACAATCTCTGGTACAATGTAAAGTACTCAATAAATGTTAAGTTTTCTTTGTGCTGAAAACTATTAGAGATTAGGGATTTCAAGCCCCCTGGGGGAAGTGATTACAACCTAGAGAAACACAAGCAGAGTCATCTGACAGCATGACAGGATCAAATGTAGGACTCACAGTGTTCGGAACGTAGGGCAAGCCATAAAACTGCTCCTGTGTTTCTTTGAGAATGTCTGTGGTTGATTTCCTCAGGGGATGCTGGCCATGGTATATTTGATCCAGGGCAGCATAAAAGACCTAGGCAAACAAAAACCTCTATTTAGCTTTGGTAGTCCATCCTGTATTTAAGATGTGGTTGGCCAAGATGTCCTAAGTGCACTGGAATGGCAATTATGAACCACAGCAGAAAACACTCAGAAATATCATACATATTATTTGAGATGTATTCTGTACCACACAGATGACCAGTCGAAGACTGAAAGGAATGCACTCAAGTACTTCATAATTAAAACTGTTGTGCAATTTTGAACCTTATCCATAAGGTACTCTTATGTACAATGCTAAATTTGTGGCCACAAAACTGGAAATATGTAGTTAAAAATATAAAAAAATAAAGAATTGTAACTCTTAAATTTGTGGCTCCCTGAGTCCAGCAACTTCTGTTTGGCTTCTTCCTGGGTCCTGGAAAATCTGAAATGAGAGGCGTGAGATGGTCAGAATCCTAGTTGGGGACCAGAGGTGAAAGAAGCAGTAAGAGAGGAAGAAGGAACAGCAAAAGCGTGTGATGGGAACTCTGCCACGGCTGCTGCAGCGTTGGAGCAAGGGCCACCTCAGGCCGCACACCTGTGTCAGGAAGCACAAAGGAAGCAGCTGCCACAGAGGGGCAACTGTACTCAACCAGGGGACCATGGCAGGATCCCTCACCTCTGCGTAGAGGAAAAGGGGCCGCTGGAATGTAATAAACAAAGCATCAAAGGAAATTTGAACATGAAACCTGCTGTTCAGAAAGCACTGAGAGCTAAGTTTACACAGAAAATCTACAGGAAAGGGAAAGTGGTTTTCATTAGAACATTAGACTTCAGTATTAACATGGCTTGGGATTTACCTGACAAGATAGCTGAAGGAGATATTTAAGGAGAAAAGTGTGACATACAATTCCACCTCTGAGATCTAGCTTTCTGATTCAGAAATGAAATCTGCATAGAATGTGCAGCTGTTGACTTGAAAGAAGAGAGGATTAGTAAAGATAAAAGAAAAAATATAAATTACCTCTGGATGTTGGCTTCACCTACATATAGAATTATGGTTCTAAATTATAAAGCTAAGTTTAAGCCTTCTCTAGAAAAATACAGGCATTTTCTGACTATAAGTATTATGTTCCTCTAACTGGTAATCTAAACATATAGCTAAACGCAGCACTTTCAATTCTATATAATGAGTGACAATGTGCATATATAACCAGAGAAACCAAAATTATTCACCTGTGTCTCACCGATGATTCTAACAGTAAATGACTAGAACCTGAAAGTTAATTCTGCCTAAACTGAGGAGGCTGTTTTATGTCCTAGTCTACAAACAAGTCAGAGCTTCATTTCTTCAATTACACCCTTTAAAAATGATACAAATGTGGATTTTTTGTTGTACAAGCAAAATAAATGTATATTTATTGCATGCTTATTTGCTGATAAGCCAAACAATTCTTAAGTTATCAATCTATCTGCCCATCCAGTGCTTATGTTCAGCATTCCTGGAACCAAGAGGCTTACACCACATCAAATAACCCAGCCTGCTTTTAAAACAATGCATGACAAAAGGGATTGCACAATTTCTAGACGCCAACCCCAACTCGAATCAGCTCCCTCCTTTCCACCCATCTGTCTCCATCTCACAGATGCAAAAGCAGGACATAGCACCTCAGCTGGGAGGAATCTTTCCTCTCTCTGGGGTCTATTTTTTAATGAGGAGGAGGGAAGGGCTGGCTTCCCATGTTAAAAGAAAATCATTGAAACAGCTGTTCAAAAAGAAAGCCCTAACAGACTGCTAAAAGAGAAGTCTTCTACCGTACATACCAGCAAATCAAACGTGCCAGGGGGTGGCAGCATGTGCTTGTGATTCCAGCACTGGGGCTGAGCAGGAAGATCGCAAGTTCAAGGCCAGCCTAGGCATTTATTGAACGCATGTCTCAAAGAAAACCAAAGGAAAAAAAGACTTCCCAGGCAATACTAATCTTTAAAAAGAATCCAAAAGGCTTAAAATTGTATTCATGTGCATGGACACTGAATAATGTCAATTAAATGAAAACTCATGGTCATGTGCTCATAATTACTCTCCTCACTGAAGTCAGTGACTGAACTCAGGACTCGTGCATGCTGTTACTGTACTACACCCCAGCTGTAAAATAGACATGCCAAGATGCAACCAAAATAGAACTCACTCACTACTTTCTAAGGACTGAATTTTTTTTTTTTTTTTTTTTTTTTTTTGTCTTTTTGAGACAGGGTCTCCCTGTAGCCCCAGCTGTCCTAGAACTCACTATGTAGACCAGGCTGGCCTTGAACTCACAGAGATCCGCCTGCCTCTGGCTCCCAAGTGCTGGGATTAAAGGAGTGCACCACCACACCCGGCTAGGACTGACTTTTTAAAAATCTCGGAGCAACTGAAGAACGGCTTCCCTCTGACGCAGCTGTTACAAAGGATTGTTCAGATGTAAGGCGAGTGTGCATGCGCTGCTGACACAGCTCTCAAGATCTATGGACAGTAAGACTCCATAAACAATCTCAGTAACTACAAATATCTGAACATCTGGCAACGGAGACCTGGCATCCAGATGGCTCATAAAAGTTTTGTCTTCATCTGGTAACCCAGGAAATTGGCTGTAAATATTATCTAACTAATGGTAATCACTGTTTAAACTTTGTATCTCAGACCACAATTTGTTTTAAAAGATAAAAACTGAATAATAATACTTACAGTTGGGTCTGAGTCCTAACTTAGTTGCTGAGACATGTGACTTAGAAGTTTTGTAACTGTTCTGGGCTTTGATTTCCTTGATGAAAATGGGAAATAACCTTATTTCACAAGTACCTCATAGGACAGTGAGTGGATTTAATGAGTCAATTTTGGCCAGGTTCTTTGAACTGAGAAGAAAGATATTTTAGAAGCATAATTATTATAATGAATGCATAGCACTGGGATAATGACTCTGGAAAACTGAGCACAGTGGTATATACACATACCTGAAGTTGCATATCCGCGGCTGCACAAACCTTCTTAGATTCACAGAGACGAGACACCATAGCTTTTGGCAGCGGCTTCATAAAACAAAACAATTCACACGTGAGTAAACTGGTGTTAGTAAGCCACAGCACCTTGTGAACTTAAAAATACAATTAAATGGAAAAATGAATGGCAGATCTGATTATTCTTTAAAAACAACTTTCAAATATTTCAGTTGACAGGACAACATGGCTGAAGACACTCCATTTAATTGTGAGAAGTGCTCAGTGTCAAATCAGAGTCTGCACATGAAAACACAGGATTACAGGGAGAGACAGCATTGGCACTGATCTTTCAAATCTACTTAAACCCCAAAGGGGATACTTCTGTTCCTTTGTTTCCAAGGAGTATGTTCAAGAGCGCTCTTAACTTTCAAGTGCAGGCAGTAACTGACGATAGGCCTAAAAGATTAAAATGTCAAGAACTAAACACTAATCCACAGCATGGGGCCAGCCAGTGCTGAAGCGGGACTGATAATCCTAACAGGTGTGATGATGAACTTCCGCTCTCATTTTTCCAACCTGGATGGACTGCAGAGTTTGGGTATGATACAGTGTACCTGTATGACTGGGGCTTTCTCTGTGAGACTGGTTAGACCTAGTCCTATGACACATATATCCTCTTGAAAAAAATCTAATAATGTAGTTGGGTGAATAAGTATTTTCTTCAGTTTTTAAAAAATCATTATTATTGATGTTTACTGAAGAAAACTACCACATTATACATATCTGCTTATGTAAATAAAGCCCCTCTGCAGAGTAATGTGTTATATATGAGACCAGTGGCAGGTGACTGAGTAGCTAGGTACTGGCCATGAAAACTTTGGAGACACCTTCAACTAGAACATTAGCCACCTCAGAATGCAATCTGTAGTCTCAGACGGGACAGAGATGATGCCTAGGCCACAAACTGCAAAGGTAAATTGTGGCCAGAGAGGCCCCTATGTACAAAAAAGGGAACCTCTCTGCCCTGGTTTGCTTTCTTTGTTGCTGTAATAAAACACCATGACCAAAAGCAACGTGGAGAGGAAAGGGTTTATTTGGTTTACATGTCCCAATCACAGTCCATCATTGAGAGAAACCAAGGCAGAACTCAAGGCAGAAACCTGGAGGCAGGAACTAAACGGAGGCCATAGAAGAACATTGATTACTGGCTTGCTTCCCGTGCATTGCTCAGCTACTTTTCTTAAATGGCCCCATCTCCCCCCGGGACACCACTGCCCACAGTGAGCTGACCCTCCTCCATCAATTAGCAAAAGAGAAATGTCTCACAGACATGCCCATAGGCCAATCTGATCTTGGAAATTCTTTAGTTGAGGTTCTCTCTTTACAGGTGACTAGTTTGTGTCAAACTGACAAAAACTAACCAGAACACTACCAAACTGAAGACAACTCTGGCAGACATTGTACATTTGTCTAACAGGATCAAAACCAGCACAAGCCACAGGAAAGACAAAGGCCCACAGCTCAATATACCTCCCTTATCTGCATAAAACTGAAGCCTCCCAGTTCTGAGGCCCCAGAGGAATTATCTAAGAGTTTACTGCTTTTTTGGCTTTTTCTCTTTTTTCCTTCCCTCTTTTTACTATACTTTTAGCAGTATTTTTACTTTACGATATTTAAAAGGCTTTGTTTATATTCTCCTTCATACATTTGTATGATCTGTTTATGTATTTAATCACTGGGCAATCTTTTTCTTTTTATATTTTTAATTCCTTTTTCTTTTTTTTGCCCAGTGTTCCCTTCCTGTCCCCTCCACTACATGTTTAGTAGACTTTTTACTTTATTTTTTAACTTTTTAGTCTACAGTGTTATTTTTATTTATTTTTTAACTTTTTAGTCCCCAGTGTTGAGAAGTCTCTTTTCCTATCTCTTGCTCTTTTCTCTGCCACTTAATAACATTCTTTTAGTCCCCTCTGCTGTTGCCCTTCCCCTGCCTGCCTCCTTCAACTCATTCACTGTTTCTACACTTACCCTACTCATTTTGTTTCATGGCACATTCTATATTAGTTTCAGTATTTTCAGGATTTGGGGTTGTTGGAAATGCATCAACTTTAAGTGTAGCTCTGCATCTTGCACAGTCTGATGCTGTTACATTCAATGACCTTGAATGTAAGTGGCCTAGAGCCACTGATAAAAAGATGTAGGGGCTGGAGAGATGGATCAGTGGTTAAGAACTTGCAGAGGACCTGGGTTTGATTCCCAGCACCCACATGGTGGCTAGCAACCATCCGTAACTCCTGTTCCAAGAGATCTGACGCCCTCTTCTGAATTCCAAGGGCATTGCATGACACAGGAACACTTGCCTCTGTGCAGGCAATATACTCATACACATAAAATTAAAAAATATTTAAAAATAAATAAATAAAAATAAAAAGATGTAGATTGGCTGACTGGGTTGAAAAGAAGATCAAACTCATTCTCGAAGGGACATACCTCACTAGCAAAGACACTCATAGACTGAATATCCAAGGACAGAAGTCAATCAAGCAATAGAAGGTAAAAACAAGCTGCCATGGCTATTCTGTTATTCTGTTTTGGTTTTTGTTCTTGTGTTTGTTGTGAGACAGGGGCTCCCTGTAGCCCCAGCTGGCCTGTAGACCAGGCTGGCCTAGATCTCACAAAGATCCACTTGCCTCTGCCTCCCAATTGCTGGGATTAAAGATGTACGCCAACTCGCCTGTCTTTTTTTTTTTTTTTTTTTTAAGTCTTGGCTATTCTGATTCCTGATAAAGTAGAGTTCAAACATAAAGCAAAAGAGATAAAGACTTTCACTACAAATTAAGCAAGAAAACAATCAATCAAGAAACCCTAACAACTGTTAAGTACATATGGACTGAACATTAGGGATCCTCATTTCATAAAACAAATAGTAATGGACATAAAATGTCAGATCTGATACAATGATAGTAGTGACCTCAATACCCACTTCTCATCTGTAGATGGGTCATATAAATAGGAAATTAATACAGAAACAGCAGAGTTAAGCAACACTGTATACCAACAGAATACCACAGATACCAACAGAATATTCCACCCAACAGATATAGAAGACAATTATGCTCAGAAGCCCCATTTAGCTTTCTCTAAAATAAACCACATTCCAAGCCAGAAAGCAAGTCTTAATAAACAGAGTCGAAATAATTTATATCTTTTCTGACCATTATGGAATAAAAGTAGACATTGATAGCAAGAGAAACTATACAAACACCTGAGGAGTCTGCACAGTACAGTCTTGAATGATCAGTGTGTTATTGAGGAAATCAGAGAAGAAACGGAAAAGTTCCTAGAACCAAATGAAGATGAAAGCACAACTTACCAAAACCTTTGGGATGCAGCTAAGGCAGCTGGTTCAAAAAGCTATCAATGCTCACATTAAAAAATCAGAAAGATTTCACACAGATAACCTAATCATGCACCTCAAGGTGTTAGAAAAACAAGAACAAGTCAAATTCAAAAGCAGGAGTGGCAAGAAATATAAAGATAAGAGTAGAAATTACTGAAAAAGAGATGAACAGGACAATCCAGAGAATCAATCAATCAGAGCTGATTCTTTGAAAAACTTAACAAGACTGACAACCCCCTAGGCAAACTACCCAAAATAAAGAGAAGACCCACATTCATGAAATTAGAGACGAGCAGGGATGCTACAACAGATTCTAACTAAATCCAGAGGATCATTAGGAAATACTCGGAAAACTTATACTACAAATCACTTGAAAATCTAATGGAAAAATTCCTAGGTATACCTGACCTAACAAAATTAATATTAATAAAATTAATAAAAAAAGATGTAAACAACTCATGCAGATTAATAACAAGTAACTAGATTGCAACAATAATAAAGTCCACCCACAAAGAAAAGCCCAGTACTGAATGGATTCATGGTCCGCTCCTACCAAATTGTATGGAGCGAACGAACACCAATATTCCTCAAACTGTCTCACAAAACAGAAACAAAAAGAATACTACAAAACACATACTACTGAGCCAGTATTACCCTGATTCCAAAAACTGATGAGGACGCAACTAAAATTTTTAAAAAGACCAATTTTCCTGCTGAACATGGATATAAAAACATTCTCAAATAAAATCATTGAAAATTGAGTTTAAGAACACATTAAGAAGATGATACACTGCTGGCCCCACGCTCTGCTTCCCTGGGCCTGCACAACCCTCAGGCCTCTCTCCAGGGTAAGTCCATCCTGCCCCTTGACGCCCCCACCCTCATTCACCCTGCCATCTCCCCGCAGGTCTCGCCTCCTAGCCTGGGTCCTGTCCCATTCCTTGTCTTGGCGCCCCAGACACCTGGGGAACCACCAGTGCTTCCTGATCCTTTGCATCCAGCCCAACTCAGTTCCTTCTGGAGTCCCCATGCACACTACTCCTGGGCCTGGCCCCGACCTCACCTCCCTCTGCTTCCCTAGGCCTGCACTACCCACCTGCCTCTCTCCCAGGAGCCCTCCAGCCTGGTCCCACCCTCACTTGCCTCTGCTTCCCTGGGCCTGCACGACCCTCCAGCCTCTGCCCTGGATGCCAGGGCTGACCCGTCCGCTTCCTGATCCTTGACATCCAGACCAACCCAGTTCCTCAGTGCAGTCCCCAGGAGCCCCCTTGGGGCCTCTTCCCGCACCCATCTCCCTTTGCATCTCTGGATGGCATGGCCACCAGCTGCCCTAGACCAGCATCTTTCCTGGGCCCTGCTCCCAGGCCAGTCCAACCCCCAAATTCCTGAGAAAATAATCTTTCCTGGAGTTCCTGATCCTTGACATCCAGACCAACCCAGTTCCTCAGTGCAGTCCCCAGGAGCCCCCTTGGGGCCTCTTCCCGCACCCATCTCCCTTTGCATCTCTGGATGGCATGGCCACCAGCTGCCCTAGACCAGCATCTTTCCTGGGCCCTGCTCCCAGGCCAGTCCAACCCCCAAATTCCTGAGAAAATAATCTTTCCTGGAGGGATCCAGAGGATCCAGGCCTTAGGAGAAAGCCTGAAATCATCTGACCTTCATCTCAATTGGGCCTCTGTGGGAACTCCTG